CTCCGAAAGCGGCTCCCGGGGGCGCGCTGGGCAACCGCTTTCCCCTCTGCCTTCTCCTCTCTTCTCTTTTATTTTTTTTCCTCCCTTCTTCCCTCACCCTCCATGCACAGTCACAGACCTCCAAAATAAATACAGTAGCTTTTCCTCGCCTTGCTTTTTTTCGTGGGAATTTCACCACTTCAGTGAGGAGATAATAACGTGCGGTTGCTGCTGGCTGTCCAGGGACTTGTCAGGTACATCTGAGGAAGAAAGAGCTTTCCTTCTTTTAAAAGCTAAAAAAGAGATATTTTTCCTACTGCTTTTAACTCTTTCTTAATGGGGACAACATAATGACATTGCCTAAAAGTTATTTTTTCCTCTCACTGTGGAATAAAGTATTTATTCCATTCCTCTCACCACCCCAAGATGAAGAAAAAACCATCTCTTTTCATGTACTTCAGTGTGCAGTCATTTATTTCACTGGCGATTAAGCCGAATCCATTTTAAATTATCTTATTATTCCCAGGCCCCCTCACCCCCCTTTACAATTTCACGATCAGCTTCATGTTCCATCGCCCAGCGCACCCCTCACTGGGGTTTTCTGGACTCCCGAGCTGCTCGTTTCCTTCTCCTGCAAAGCTACAGAAACTGCTCGCTCCCTATAGGGTCCCCACAGAATCTGTCCCTTTTCAGGGAGAATTCAAGACTCCCTGGCACCGTTTGGGAAGCAAAGGTCAAGTGAAACAGTTTCACTCACCCGTGATTTCCAAAATATGGGAGAGGGCTCTATCCCCATTCGTGCTGCCTGAAGTTGCCTGCTCTGTAGTAATCCCGACACGGTTACATGTTATACTCCATTGCTTCATATTTGCACTGTGCTCGCTGTATTTGTTTCTATTTATATAACTCCCCTCGATACTCTCTGTTCCTGGGCTCCTGCGGGGCAGTCTCTGCTCCTGTCTCGCTACTTAGGCTTTTTAGTTGCTTTGCCTCCCCCAAATATTTCGTTCCGTCCTACAACCCTGCAGTTTCGAGGCTCCTGGCAAATATTATTGTTGCCATTTTCACAATTATGCGAATTTGTAAAACTGATCTTTTTGATGTCAGACTAAAAGAGAAGAATCGTAGGAGTAATTTCTGAAACCACATCCAACACCAGCAGGTTTTTTTTTTTACAGTATGAAGATCCTTATTATTGAGGAGACTTATTTTATATCATTTTGTCATTAATCAATGAATGTAATAACTCCTGCAGAAAAGGTAACCACAGAACCCTGCCTCTCATGACGATTCTCCCTTTCTTTAAGGTGCTCTTAGCTCATTAGCTGATTTATCCCTTCAGTTCCCCTGAACCTCTTTGCAGCAACTGTTCGCTGCCGTAATAACAGTTTCAGGGAATCTGCGCAGAGATTTCCGTTTATGACAGCTACAGAGTGCATTAGAGATCAATGCCCTCAGTGGACATAAAGCAAACTTGGCTCCACATCAGGCTCCTATATCGCGCGTGACTCACACGCCAGAGCTATAGGCTTGACCGCGAGCTCAGGCACCCTCCGTCAGCGCCTGAACTTGCGGCGTGCAATAAAAGCCGCTATCTCGGCATAGGTGGGACATTTGCCACGGTAAAGGAGCTGTTTTGTTAAGGCACTGCTTAACCTTCGGTTTAGCTAAAATTAAAGCAGATGGTCTTGGAGCCCCAGACAGGGCTCAGACGACCTTGGCAAAAAAAAAAAAAAAAAAAAAAAAGCAGCGAGGAAGGTGACTTTTACCTTGCCACCCTTTGCTCCACAGAGGAGAAATCCTCGTGTTTCCTCGGTTTCTCTTCAAAGAGAGAAACTTGGGGCTTCCTCCAGGCTATTTTTTTATTGACCTCCACATGGAGATTATGGCGATAGTCCCACGAAACCGCACCGCGCTGCCTCATCCCTGTTCTACACGGACTCGAGGAACAAAACTGCGCAGAGCGTCATGTTTCACAGAGGTTTTTAATCAGAAAACACAGCAGTGTGACAAAGCGTATGCTAAACATGACAGTTTCAGGAAATTACTTCTCACTTGAAAGCAAGAGGAGCTGGTCTTGGGAGGGGGGCAAGGAGGCTAAAACCTTGTGGGGAGAGGGAAAAAATCTAAACATATCTTATTTTTAAGTGCTATTTTGTAGTTATCTATTCATTTTACCCAGATTTAATACCGTCTGTTTTGTGTGATTAAAATCTAAACTATTCAAAGTAAAGCACTTTAAACTGCTCATCTGTCGAGCAAGTGGGATCTATACAAACGTTAAAGGGTTTTACATTAAACCCATTCCGGTAAGGTGCTGAGCATCGTTAGCTCCCATCGAGGTAAATGAGTTTTGGTCTTAGACATACTATCAACTGCACCGTAGCAGAAAATATTCAAGGGTTAAACTGTATTTTAGCTGCAAGCCACGATGTAAGTTCAGGAATATCAGACGTGTTGCTTCCTAAATTTCACTGTCTTTTTCAAATACTCATATTCTGTGAGATGCATCTATCATTACAATGGTTTATTTCCAACAGGAAAACAAAGCAGAGCAGTTGGTGGAAAGCAAATATTTCTTAGGCGGCCTCCAAACTACTCTCAGAAGAAGCGACCAGAAAACTTGATGCTTTGCAGCCTCATCATGGTCCTTCCTCTGAGCACAGGGATCTGCTGCTTGCTCTGAAGCGGGGAACGTGTCGTGCAGTGCACGGCGGACACCGACTGCTAAACCGAGCTCTTTAAAACCCCTGGCAATCAGAGACCACTTATACTGTCGCTGGTAACTAAATTCAAAAGCTGCTCGGTGAAAGTTTAAATACACAAAGGGGAAAAGTGCAATCTACATTTAGAAAGCGAGTGACCTACTTCTACAAGCTCTTGTTAGTGTCAAAACGCAGCTATTTCCCAACGCTTCGGCGCGACACCCGCTCCCTTCAGGCCAAGCCGGGTCCTGCTCCCAGCCCTGCCCGCTTTGCAGGTTGCCCCTTAACGGGCCGTTTCACCCCAAACAAGATATCCATTTTTTTGAGTACGGCGTGGGGGAAGCAGGAGCGGAGGGGGGTGTCACTAGAGCTACTCTGCCGTCTCCAAGGGTAAAAGCGCAGCGACATAAAGCGGGGCGCGTGGAGCTCGCTGCCCGAGGCAGCGCGGCGCGCGCGGCTCAGTCCCTCAGCGCCGGGCGCGCGGCGGGGGCACCTCGGCTGCGGACCCACCTCTGTCTTCAGCAAGGAGAGAAAAATAGTGGGGAAACAAAGAGAGAGGAAAAAAAAAAGAGCCAAAACTGTTGCCACGGATGCTGATCCCAGGGAGGCGGCGGTCAGGGCGCCGCCAGGTGCAGCGGCAGGTTGCCCTCGGCGTCCTCGATGTTCACGTCGGCCTCAAACTCCAGCAGAGTCTGCAAAGTGTCCAGGAAGCCCGCGCGGGCCACGTCGTGTATCACGGCGAAGCCCGTTCTGTCCTTCAGGTCAGGGTCGGCGCCGCTGCTGAGCAGCCTGCGCGCGATCTCGGGGTTGCCCAGCTTCATGACCTGCGGGGAAACGCAGACGTGAGTCGCGCGGCTCTCTGCTCGGCTCCCGAGCCCTGGCGCGGCTCCCTCCTGCTCTACAAGAGACTAAGGATGCGTCAGGACACCCCCTTTTCATGCACTTTTTCCCCCCTAACTACAGTCAGATCATGGAGGATGTTACCCCTTCAGTGGTGACAGCTTTCTGCCTCGAAGAGCCTAATGCCTAAAACATGCAGCTCAGCACATTGATACATAGAATAACTTCCTTAGCTTAGGTTATCTCAGCCCCTCACCATATGAAAATTAAGCATGACTCGTTTTTCTTTGCCTCAATATTGAAACTCCTCTGCATTTCTGTTTATTCGGGTTAAACATCAAATAAGGGGCTTCCCGAGGAACAGATATTTTACCTCAGTAACAGAAAATGGAGAAAGTGTTTTTATAAACTTTCAGGTGTTTACATTGTCTGTGTATTATCATAAAACAAATATTTGTACTGCGCCATACTTCTGTCTGCTAAGAAAAATAAATCCTCGAAGAAAAATTTCTCCCCAATATTTGGGTTTCATTATGTTACCCAAAAAGGAGAAGTTAGGAGAGATGTTTCCAAATTCCATAAGCTTTCTTCTAAAACCAGTATATTACTTCATAGTTTCATAATTTCACTATAAGCAAACTGTGCTTATATTCTGTTGTTCAAAATGCCCCTCATTAAAAAAGCACTAATTGGATTTTGTGACTTTTCCTCTCAGAGGAAAAAAAAAAAGGAAAAAGAAAGTGTGCTTCTTTAAATGTTCCTGATTGCATCATAAAATTATTATAATTAGGAAGCACTTATCTTTCATTTAAGGTTTAACAGTTTGTACCGATTTCCCCCAAATTTGTCAGTTTTTGTTTTCTTACAGCTTTTAAAAAAGTGAACATGGCAATAAATAATCTCCAATCTATAAGAATAATTTACTGTTATTGTAATTATTTTTTTTGCAAGTGTCAATTTGGGGAAAAAAATCTTCCTTATTTCCTTAGAAACATCTAAACTGATTTAAATTTTTGCAAATAATCTTTTATCAACATAAACGAGTACTATATTCAACATAATGTATATTTTTATGAGGCATTGCTAAAATACAGTTATCAGTGAAAAAAAATATAAGGCTTTGTCAGAAAGGCACACCTATGGTAAATATAATTAATGCAACGTCTGGAATGTAAAACAGCCATTAAAATACATTTACAGACAGCAACAAAACTGTGGATAAGATAGAAGGGGATTCAGGGCAGGACATTTATCTATGGCACAATGTTTCGTGCACTTTTATGTGCCATTTCTTTCAGTTTTGAAAAGAGATGTAAGAAGTGTAAAGAAAAATAAGAGAAAATAAATAAGTGCCCTGTCTTTCTTTGATAAATTCGGATATTTCTGTCTCTCTTTGATGACCCAGGCTGTATTATTTTTGTATTCAAAACATGTATTTGGTTCAAGTGGCAGTTTTATGTGCACGAAGAAAGCAGGCAAGGGGACTGAAGATTTAAAGATATAGTGGGGAGAGAAAAGAAAAACTTATTAAAAAAGTGATGTTATTTGGATGTGGGATACAACTGTCCCGAAATGCCATTTATTTTGAAAAGTTTCACTTGTGGGAAAGGAGGCAAAGGAGGAAAAAACAGTTAGTGAATTAGGGTGACCAAGAGCTCTCTAGGCTCTAAGGCAGGACTTGCATTTGCGGCCTGCATAGGTGCACTTCATCAGAAATAAAAAGGGCAGAGGAAGACAAGCACTCTTTTAATTAAAAATAAATCCAGAAAGAAAGAAAAAACCACCTAATTTGTAATAACATATCCGCATTCTCTTCACTGTAAGTGCGAGAGGGGTTACCGAGAGCTCACCTCGATTTGGGAGCTGGTAGTGACCGAGAGCTCTTTCGAGCGTGATCACCCCCTCACAACCCCTTTCAGGATGATGCATAGTGAAAATAAGCAGACACATTCTCCTGTTTTGATTTTTGTTGCGGTTCCTTAACTCAGTTCTGATTAGATTACAACAAAAAACACTATTGTTAGTAGCCAGATGCGCGCTTAATATAGCTGGGTGCCCTGTCCTCGGCTAAAATATTCCTTAACTTAGGGGACGGACGGGTAGCTTCTTTTAGCAAAATACACGAGTGCAGCATGATTCGGTTTTCAGCCCCCGTCTGGAGGATAAAGCCTCTAGCTAAATGTTTCCTGCTTTCTTAAATAAGTTACTTAGTGCAAGTTTTTAATTTCAGTCTTTCCCTTCCCCTAAAAAGTTGCTGCAAGTGTCTGCCCTGTCACACCATGTCCTATTTAGGTGATAATAGTGCAAATATAATCGCCCAGTTCCTAAGTTGCGAGGAAAATTTCAAAAAAAAAAAAAAGGGGGGTTCACTGCTGCTCCGCAACAAGAGGTGCTTATTTTCGAGACCCAACGTTTTGAGGGCAAGCCAAAAAAACCCTGCGAGTGTCTCGAGTTCATTCGCAAGCTGCATGCCTTCTGAAAACAAAATTTCAGAAATGAATATCTCGCTTTCGGGGGACGAGGGAGGGAGAGCAGTTAATAGAAACGATTTTTCTAATGTGGGAAATTAAAAAGTTCCCCAGCTCCACTTCCACATTGCATTGCATTCCCTTTAGTGTAAATAACCACACACTTCCTCCTGATTTACAAATCACTTATTTCACTATTTTTATATACATCCCATCACGTTCGCCGTCATTATCTGCTATTATTAAAAGAGAAATCTTTCAGCAGCACCAATAGTTAGCAGCTGGATGCGGTCCAGCCCCCGGCTGCACGGCTCCCCACCTCAAAACGAGGACAGAGGACCCTGCGCGATCCGAAATGAAATAGCTGCCAGCAGCACCTCGCCCCCCGATTAAAAAATAATCCCGAAGAAGCCCAATTTTGAAGCCTCGGTTCTGCATGAAGAGGCGAGCGGGGCCGCGAGGACTCTGCATCGGAGGTGCCCGGGCTGGGCAGCAGCCTCGCACGAGGAAGGTCATTCGCCCCGAGCAGCGTGAAAAGGAAAAGTACCATCCAGCCCTAGCACCCCTCGAGAAAAGCGAGGGCTCCACAGCACCCGGGGGGAACGCGCACGAGATCGAGGCTTTAACAGCCCTGCGGTTGTGTTTACAGACCTGCTCTCAAACCCTGCTCACCTCGGACGCGTTTCTTTTCATCTCCTCTCTTTCATTCTTTGCCTCCTCCCCACCGAATTACAAAATAGCATTAAACTAGCAACCCGCATGACATTGAGGGTGATCCCCGACTGAAAGAATGGTTTTGACCAGTTTTATTTCAAGTACGTCATTTTAGGGAGCTGGAGCCACTAAAGTTATAAAATATGGCATCCAACTAGTTTTTTTTCTAGAAAAAAAAAAAGGCACTCAAATTTCGTCCACCAGCCTGCTCTAAAGCGTTGTCTTTTTGGAAACCCGGGTCACGTAGGTAGCAGTGATGAAATATTTTCTCCCTCTCTGGATACCAACCTGCAGCGCAGTCCTCCCAAATCCATTTTGGGCATTGACGTTTACATTCCTTTGCAACAAATTAGTGAGTTGCACTAGGTCCCCCTTGGCAGCCGCGGACGCCAGCTCGTTCCCAGAAGGCTCGGCCATTCTTTAGGGTGACTGACGATCGGAAAAAGAGGAGATTTTTTTTTTTAACCAGGCATGGCATCGGAGACTGACAGAAGGATTGGGATGGTTAATCTTCTGGAGTAGACCTTGTAGTAAATACTCGTAAAAAAACTCCTTGCCAAGAGCCCGCCCCTAACTCACACGTGATTATTCAGCAAAACTGCAGCTCCGCTTGAAAGAAGGTTTCTTCGCTTCCACATAGAGAGTAACTCACATTAAAGCCTTTCGCCGCTTGCGAGGGCGAGCACGTTAAAAGCTACGAGATCTATATGTTGTGTGTAACATATATACACGTACCCTGGAGCCTGAGTTCCGACCTGAGATCCCCGCAGCAGAGAGCGACCCGCGCTGTTCGCAGGCGGGACGCGGCGCTCGGCTCCTCCGCGGAG